GGGTTTTTTCCTGTTCTTTTTCATTATAGTTTATTACAAGATATTGAATGTAGTTCCCTGTGCTATACAGTAAATCCTTGTTGTTTATTTTATATATGGTAGTATGCATCTGTTAATCCCATGTTGCCAATTTATCCCACCCCCCTTCCCCTTTGGTAACCATAAGTTTGTTTTATATGTCTGTTTCTCTTTTGTAAATAAGTTCATTTGTATTATCTTTTAGATTTCACATATAAGTGATATCATATAATATTTGTCTTTCTCTAACTTCACTTAGTATGATAATCTCTAGGCCCATCCATGTTGCTGCAAATGGCATTATTTCATTATTTTTTTATGGCTGAGTAATAGTCCATTGTGTATACATACCACACCTTCTTTATCCATTCATCTGTCAGTGAACACTTGGGTTGTTTCCATGTCTTGGCTATTGCGAACAGTGCTGCTATGAACATTGGGGTGCGTGTATCTTTTCAAATTAGAACTTTTGTCTTTTCTGGATATATGCCTGGGAGTGGGATTGCTGGGTCATATGGTAACTCTATTTTTAGTTTTTAAGGAACCTCCGTGCTATTTTCCGCAGTGGCTGCTCTATGGATACATTTGTTTGGAATATTTCTTGTTTGTCTGCTTTCTGCTACGTTCTCACTTTGGCGCTTCCACGTGGTTTTCTATAACAGCTTCTGTACTGGCTTACTAAATATTTGATATATGCAATTAGAGGGTCAAAAGTACCCTTGCATCTCCTCTTTACCTTTACACTTCCTACTGATCCTTAAAGATTCCATCACATCTTGTACAAGGCATTCAATCTCCCCTCCAGCACACAATGATTTTCCCACTGTCTGAATCACTATTCCATGTGATTTTCTGATTTATAATTTTAATTTAAATACGCTTCTTAGTGATTGATACTGAACTGCTTCAGGTATGTATTTCCTGTTCTTCCAAGCAGCTTCTATAGGAGAGGAAAATATTGGTGTTTTTTATTGATTTGGTATATTACTTAGCATCTAGTACACAACAGAACATAAAGAAGAGTTCCAATAAATGCCTGCTACGCTGGATTGATGTATCTTTTCTGGAAATCAGAGCTTGTTGAGCCTGTTGACTCAATGGCATCTTGTCTAATAAATTAGAACCTTGAATTTAATTTCAAAAACTACTCTCATTTTTTGGCTCATTATTCAAACCTCATTATTATACTATAAAAATTTAGTTCAAATGTTAGAACGTAGAGCTGGTGGCCTTATTCATTTATTAGCAGGAATTCAGGATCACTTTTGTAGTCTCCAAAAGAAGATGATTCCTTCTGGTCCAATGAACTAGTGGGTGCTAATCTCAGATTGCCTATTGTCTCCATGCTAGGAAAAGACATGTGAGTTAGGAAGGGAGGAGAGCAATAGATTTCTACAATGAAAATGAGCTTGGACTTTTAGTGCAGGCAGGTTAAAATACTTCTAATTATGCAATTAACTAAATGTGTAATTTTGGGTAAAGTATTCTCTCTGAGTCTCAGTTTCTTTTTCTATAATATGAGAATAATAATGCCTGGTTAATAGAGTAGTTATAAGGATTAAGTAAATTAATGTGGATAAAGAACTTAGCCCGGTTTCTGGCTCCAAGTCAGCCTCACGACGTGGTAGTTATCGTAGTTATTGTATTGTATTGTAAGAATCCTGATTCTTTCAGTCAAAAGTAAAAGTAAAAGCCACCCTTCTTCATCACTTGGGAGATTGCATCAGGCCCTCCGTCCACCTCTCCTGTTTCTATATTTCAACCTCATTTAGTTCTGCTGAAGAGGTTTCCACGTTCTATAGGGTGCACGTGAACCCAGAGCTGTCGGCTCTTCCCAGCTTTACCACCAGGGAGGACATTTCTCTTTCCCCTTAGTTTCAATTCAAAAGTCCAGGTGACTGCAGTTGATAACACTGTACTGTGTAATTTGCTAAGAGAGTAGAACTTAAGTGTTCTCACCCAACAAAAGAAAGGGGTGAATATGTGAGGTGACAGATGTATTAATTCGTTCAATGGGGGAAATCCTTTCACAATGGGTACGTATATCAAATCATCATATTCTACACTTTAAATATCTTACAATTTTAGTTTTCGATTATACCTCATAAAGCTGGAAAAGGGGAAGGATTTTGATCAACAAAGACAGGTTGGATCCCTTGCTCACCCTTTGGTAAAAGGCTTGTGAGACTGCAATTCTCAGATCTCACTAGGACCACTTAGTGTGGTGGGTGAGGAGAGCGGTTCTCAGAAGAGATGTGGTGGATTTCCTGGAACAAAGGAGAAAGGAGGTCAGGTAGACAAACAATTGACACCTACGACAGCTATTCTTGTTGTCACCGTCAGCATCATTACAGGATTCGATTTCTTAAACACCTCACATAGTCCAGTGTGGTCTGAGAGTGTCAGAAGATTTCAACGACAGTTGACAAAAGAAAGTTTAAACTGGAGTTTAAAAAAAAAAAAAGCCTCAGTATTACTAGAGTTCAGAAGTCTATGGCCACTCTTATTCCTTGGAGGAAAACATTTTGGCATCTGGACACTCTGAGACTGTGGTCAAGTGCAGCTATTATCATTAAGACCTCCCCAAAGTTCAGTTAAATTCATTTAAGTTATAGGTGTTTCTATATGAATGGTTTATACACAGTGGTAAAAACTTTTAAATCAAATTTGGAAGTATATTTCTTTTCATTCTTTGTAATTATGTTCTTTTGACCAAAAGTATTATATTTTCCCTATACTAGGTAAAATTTAATGCCAGAATAATGGAAACTGCTGATATTTTCTTTATACTTTTCAAAAGTTATCTTTCAGGAGACTTCTTCAGTGATTATTGTTTCCTCTCTCTTCTCATATGGTTTCTATTTAGGTCCAGTTATGTTGCAAACAACTCTTAATTTTTTTGTTTATTTATTAGTTTTGGTGTGTTTTGCTGAGAACAACGAGCAGGTCTCTCCTCTTCCCTGTAGCTATAGGATTCTTATTAGTATTAATCAGATACATGAAATAGAGCTGGGATTCAAATCCTTAAGCTGGGATTCAAATCCTTAAGCTAGGATTTTTTTTTTTTCTTTTTGCGGTACACAGGCCTCTCACTGTTCTGGCGTCTCCCGTTGCGGAGCACAGGCTCCGGACGCGCAGGTTCAGCGGCTCACAGGCCCAGCTGCTCCGCGGCATGTGGGATCTCCCCGGACCGGGGCACGAACCCGTGTCCCCTGCATCGGCAGGCGGACTCCCAACCACTGCGCCACCAGGGAAACCCAAGCTAGGATTTCTTGAAACGGTTGAAGGGCAACCATAAGAGTCAACGACTGCAAATAGGAAGAGTGGATATTGGAATTTAAGGAATACTGAATACTGATACTTGAGTAGCAAAACTTTTTAGTCTATTGATATGAGGATCAAAATTTTCTCAAGTTACCACTGTTGCTGTGTGGACATAGGGTCATGCTCCCTTGCCATCTGTGTATGTCCTTATGAGATATAGAATCTCAAGGCTTCAGGAGTATAGAGGAGAGAGAAATGTTTATGAATCTGTAAAGTTTGGGAAGTCTTCATGAAAAAGGTTGACTTAAGTTCATTTATGTTTTTAATATAAAGTTTGGGATAATAATTTCAATAATTCCTTTTTCTCTTTTCTAGGATATAATAGCAAATCAGCAAATCCTGTCTTACAAAGACTCTAAATTCTTTAATTAAAATTGCAACCATCCACAATTGTCTTTTTTTCTCTCTTTTTTACTCTCTCTTATTCTCTGTCTAACCTCAGGCACACAGATTTAAATTAATTACAATCTTTGGTTCATAACAGATTCATATCATTGGCCCAAGAATGACCCCCTTTAATTTCTTTCTTTCTTTTTTGGTGTTAATATTATGTACAAAACATCTGTGAATTCCCCACTCACACAATAGACTCTTTAAGGGTGTCTGCTAGTCAAAATCTAAGTTGTCATTTTTTAACACAAAGGCCATATGTTTTATTTACCATTATGTCTCTAGCACCTACGATAGTGTCTGGTGCATACTGTTGCTTAGAGCGGACAATATATATTGCTCGGTTGAATGGCCTTCACGTGGACCTGCTGCCTGGATGAACCTTTACTGGTAGAGGAGACTCTATTGTCAACACTTGCTAAAGTGTGGACATTAGCAAAAGAGGCAGGCCATTAATATAAACGTACGCTATTGAAGTTGGTAATGGCTGTAAATGGAGAATAAAGCAAATATATTCACTGGAAAAGCTAGGCAGCAGGGAACGATTGAACAAAAACTTTATTAAATGTGAGTTAAAAAAACAAAAGTGAACAAAAGCCTTATTACATATTGTGATGAAAGCACAATGCTTGGAACTTAGCACCCTCAGGGAATACATACCTTTGTCCCCGCAATAACAGAGAGATGGGGAAGGGAAGCTCAGAATATCGTCACTTTTCAAATGAAGATATGAAACTCAAAAGAGTTACGTGACCTCTCAAGGTCACACAGCTACTAAGTGGAACCTCTAGGATTCACACTGGTGCTGCTTGACCGCGAAGGTATGAGCCTTAATGCATGATGATTAATTGTCTGAAAATGGTATTAGAGGTCTTCAGAAAATTTGAGAAAAGATCCCTTCTGAAATACCTTTATTATTCAAACTGTTTCCCAATTGAGGAAGACGATTTCCATTTTAGGAAACCATATGTAGACGGCATATACTAAACTCTGGAACTTTTACCCTTTCTTGTTGCTTTGTCTGGTACTTCATGGCCACAGAATATCTTTGTTAACCCTGTATTGTGTACATATCAGCCAGAAGATGAACTCCATTGGCATTAATTTTTTTGCAAAGACCTTTTTTCTCTGTCTTGACTTGATATTTCTACTTTACTCTCCCTGGTGGGAATTGTTGTCTGCAGTGGATTTCCTCTTCTCCCTGGAGTTTAGTAGGTCATCTGTGTTGTACTGCCAGTGTACCTGATTCCATCTTTATGCTGTTACAGAATTATAGTAGAGAACACAGTGGATTGGCGACCCCAAGACAAGATTGTCCTTAGTTCCTCTTCATATGAACCTCACGAAGCAGAGGTCCTCACTGTGAAAGAAGTCAGGGGCCACCATGTTAGCATCCATGAACGGCTCAGACACCGGCACGTCGGTAAGGCTTTGGTTTGTTAGTTAAGGGAAGTGAATGAGCCAAGAAAAACGTGTTCAGCAACCTGCCTTGGGACCTTGGATCTGATCGGCGTTCAGAGGGGATGGATAATATTTTACTGCTGCCCTAGGCTCATCCTTAGAAGGCTTTATCTCCATCCCTTCATTAATTTTATTGCCTAATTAGAAAAAATCTTTGATGTGAGGGAATTTTTAAACTTTTTATTTATAATGGCAAGCCTAGAAGCAAGCAGAAGGGTTAAGAACCTTGTTCAAGGTCACCGGGTATTTTCATGGCTGAGCCAGAATAAATCTCATGGGAGATGAGTTTCCAGTTCATTTCCTGGCATACTGAATCACACAGCCACTTAGAATGTGGTAGTCATTGTAAATAATGACTCCTTTTTCCATACTTAGGAATGTGTCCTTCCTGACATGAAGTTCATTGTATCAATTGACTACTACTACTGCCCCAAAATATAAATAAATAAATAAAAACCAAATACCTTTTTCTTGAAAAAAAAAGTACTGAATATTTTAATACAGTATACACACTTAAAATATATTGCATTATAAATAATAAATAACCATATTTCCCGCTTCAGCCTAATAAATAAACTTAACCCAGGAAATATAGCTAATAAATAAAAAACACGGACATAAAGGGATTAGGGGATATCTTTCTTGTCTCTGATATGTGAGAGGGAAATACATGCTTTCAGCAGGACTGTATCTAAAGCTATTTCTAAATCATGGTTTTAAGGATGATTTTGTTTCTAAAGAGTGGCGGGGAAAAGAGACATCGTTAGCAATCCTTGCCTATAATACACAACGTACAATGCAAAGTGGGGTGGGCAGTGGAACAAACCAGCAAGACTGGGGAGGCTCTTTCTGGGAGTGACGAGTTCCAGACCCGCCAGGAGAGGGCGTTGCCGCTGCTGCTTCAGTCCTATCACTGCCTCAGTGGATCTGCGATTCCTCACTCTCTCAAAGAGGTTCAGGAACAATGCACAACCAAAGGCGGGAATCTCACACTGAGGAATTGAAGGAAGGAGGCCGGGGACCCCACTAATTGAACCGGTCTTCCCTGACATCCCTGTCCCGCTACCCATAGTGATTGAGGACAAATGAATTCTTGCTCAAACACGCTCACTCTGATCCCAATGAGAGACCAGTGAACGGGCTTTTCATTTCTCAGCCGACGTTTGTGGAGGACGCCCGAGGAAAAGCAGACCTTAATGTTGGGAGGACTTCCGCGGGGAAAGGAGTGTTTTCATTTGTCAGGTTCGCTGGGTCCCCAGCTGGCGATCTCCGAAATAGGTTTTAAAAATTTTTTCCTTTCCCGACTCCCGTTGCCCCAGGAAGTGTCCACGTCATGGAGGATGGCCGACACATTCGTTTGGCTTCAGAGGTTGGACTTCTGACCCGAAACATACAAATCCAGGGTGATACATCATGCGGGGGGAGACTACTTGTGGGGTCCTTCAGGAAGTCCAGCGTGGAAGAATTTTCAGGTAACTGAAATTTTAAGTTACTAAGCACTACCAATTGGAGGCTATGCATCTGGGACACTCAGAAATTCCAACGGTGGGAATTTTCATTTATAAAACAAAATATTTGAAATAGATGCTTCTCTGTGCTCTGAGAAGCTATGCGTTTTCAGTACTAATCTGTGCTTAATTATCAGTGTGATGTTAAAATAATATACTAGTTATCAGCACACAGGCACATTTTTACCTCAAAAAAAAAAAAAAACTTCAGCAGATGTGAAATTTCCTCTGCTTTGAAATTATAGATGATTTAATGACCAATTGAATTTTATCTCTTTCCTGTATTTCTATTACTCTTTCCCAGTAGCATGGTCTATTTGATGGCAGGCCTCATCTCATGCTATAAATTAATAGTGTAAATTTAAATAAGAATGATTTCCATATTCTAGACTGCTTTAGGGATCAGTTAAATTTCTCTCATTTCTTTCAAGCTTTAGCTCTTCTGGAATGCTGCAAAGTTATTTGATTAGTACCTTTTTCTTAAACTTAGGTTCCTTAAAATTGATTCCCAAGTTGTTTCCTAGTCAAATAAAGCCCCATCTCAGAAAGTCACTGCGTACACGAATGTAATAAAGGCTCTGAGAAAGCCTGGAGCAAAGGATCTAACGGTTTCCCAAGTATATTGAGCACGGAACACTTTTTGTGGGTATATCTGCTTTACCAGTATAGTAAAGAGCAATGTTTGAATCTTAAAACAAAAGTTCGAGGGCTTCCCTGGTGGCGCAGTGGTTGAGGGTCCGCCTGCCAATGCAGGGGACGCGGGTTCGTGCCCCGGTCCGGGAAGATCCTACATGCCGCGGAGCAGCTGGGCCCGTGGGCCATGGCCGCTGAGCCTGTGCGTCCGAAGTTCGCGATTTCTGGTTCCTAGAACAAGCTCTCTCTCCATAAGCTCCAGCTCCGTCAGTTCTCAACAGAAGTGATTTTGCTCTTCCCTCCTGGCCAAAGGACATTTGACAATATCTGGAGCCATTTTTGCTTGTCACAGCTTTGGTGGAGCTTCTGGCATATAGCGAGTAGTTGCTCAACATTCTATAAGGCACAGGACAGCCTCCCACAAGAAAGGATTATCTGGTCCAAAATGTCAGTCATGTTGAGGTGGAGGAACCCTGCTCTGGAAGGCTAGACAAAGGCTGAATCCCGGTTGTGGTTGTGTAAAACCAAAACTACCCTGCAGTTTATGAAGACAGAGAATTAGGGAGGGAGCGCAAGACAGGGCCCCTTTCCACGGTAACTGCAGTCCAGGCTGGAACCTCATCACCAGAGCAGGACAGAAGGCCGATTCTTACAGCTGAGCACCAAAGCCAGAGCCCAACCACCAGCAATGCTGGCTCAGTCCTGAGCCTCTGGGTTGCTGGTCAGGGCTCTTAAATCATCCCTGGGGAAGGGAAAGAGAATCTGTATTCGATGCTTCTTATGGACTAGGAACCACGATGATTTCCATGCCTACTTTGTTTCATTTAATCCTAATATCTATGTGAGAAAGACATTTTATCCTCGCGGTACGCGGGCCTCTCACTGTTGTGGCCTCTCCCGTTGCGGAGCACAGGCTCCGGACGCGCAGGCTCCGGACGCGCAGGCTCAGCAGCCATGGATCACGGGCCCAGCCGCTCCGCGGCATATGGGATCTTCCCAGACCAGGGCACGAACCCGTGTCCCCTGCATCGGCAGGCGGACTCTCAACCACTGCGTCACCAGGGAAGCCCCATCCTTCTGCCTTTTGTAGGGAAGAAGCAAGTACCTGATGACATGCATTTTGCTTGCAGGTATCCTTCAACTTTTCAATGTGGAAATTCAGAACTTTGGCTCACCACTGTATTCCTCCATCGAGCTCACTGATACGTCGGCAGGATCCTGGATAATATCTTGTACTCTGCACCAAAGCTGTGGTGGGGGCATTCGTGCAGCTGCCAGTCAGGGGATCGTTTTAAATGACAATGTAGTGTTCAGCACAGCTGGCCATGGCATTGATTTGGAGGGTCAGGACTATTCTCTCTCTAATAACCTTGTGGTTCTGATGACACAGTCAGCCTGGTCTCCCATTTGGGTGGCAGGAATCAAAGTGAATCAGGCAAAGGACATCCATCTCCATGGCAACGTTGTGGCAGGATCCGAGAGACTTGGCTTTCACATCCGAGGCTACAGGTGCTCCTCTCCTGAAGCCCTTTGGTCTGACAACGTGGCCCACTCAAGTCTTCACGGCCTTCATCTCTATAAGGAGACTGGACTTGACAACTGTACCAGTATCTCTGGCTTCTTGGCTTTCAAGAACTTTGACTACGGTGCCATGCTCCATGTGGAGCATGGCATGGAAATAGAGAACCTCACTCTGGTCGACAATACTATTGGCCTTTTGGCAGTAGTTTATGTGTCTTCTGCCCCACAGTGTTATAGTGAAAATCTACAGATTGTGGTTAGGAATTCAGTCATCGTGGCCACTAGCTCATCTTTTGACTGCATTCAGGATAGAGTTAAGCCTCGTTCTGCCAACGTGACATCACCTGATCGAGCTCCTTCCAATCCCAGAGGGGGTCGAGTTGGTATTTTGTGGCCTGTATTCACCTCGGAACCAAATCGGTGGCCTCAGGAGCCATGGCACAAAGTGAGGAGTGGCCATTTAATTTCAGGCATCATGAAACTTCAAGGTGGGATGTTTGGGTTTCCAAGCAATGTAGTGTCATACATCTGTGCATAGAAGCTTTAACAGCATTTTGAAATTATATCAACAAAAGCGTACAGTGTCGTCTGGTGCTTGCTGTCCAATTGACCATCTACTGGGCATTGATAACCACAATGGTAGTTTATAATGACAGTGAGTGATTTCTTTAAAAAGTCACCGCTCTATACTTGTTGAAGAGCTTTCCCAGGGAAATATTTCATTTGATTATATGCCTAACCTCTTAGGTACGTGTTACTTTTCCTGTCACACAGAGGAGGAAATTGATACGTCGAAATAGTGCCTCAGTGAAGTTGTCAAGTAGTTGGTGGGGCAGCCAGGATTTAATCCAATTATACTACAACCTACGCAGAGAATCTTCTGTCAGCTCTCTTTTGTACTATTGTACTCACTCCTCACTGGATTTTGATCAAACCTTTGATGGAAAGTATTGCTCTTAAGATGTCAATGTGTTGGAATGCTCTTCTACTTTGTATACAATGTCCATGTCTTCAAGAATTAAAGATATTTTAAGTCAAGATTTATGTAAACTCCTGGAACTACCCTGGACAGTAGCTTAAACTTAGTCCTGGACATACATTAGTATAAGAATATTTAGTTGCGTAGTCTGTATTTGTGGTTGGTAGTTTACATGATATAATGTTGTAATACCGTAAACATTTTTTTTCAGATGTGACCTTTTCTGGTTTTGTGAAGAGTTGCTATAGCGATGATCTAGATGTCTGCATTCTGTCCAATGCAGAGAACACTGGGATCGTGCCTCTAATAACGGCAGAGAGGACCAGGATGCTAAAGATCAAAGATAAAAACAAGTTCTACTTTCCTCCTTTACAAACCAGGTACCGGTTTTGGTATTTATAGTAAGCCATATTTATGAAGGGTTTGGTAATTCTCCAAATACCTCAACATGTTTTTTAAACAAGGATAAAATCATCAATGGGAATAGAAATAAGTCCTTCTAGAAAAATATGGTAGATTGATTGGTCCCAATTCTTTACCCTCCTATATTTGTGCCCTTTGAGATACAATTTTTGCAGTCTCTCTCACTGAAGAGAAAGAGACTGTTTCTCTCTTCCTTGAATCTGGAATCCACCACGTGATGTCCTCTGGCAGACAAAAGCGGCAGAAGTGATGGATTGCAAGTTTTATTGATATTGTTTAATTGTTTTATCTTTATTAGAGGTACTTCTTTGGGATGTTTTCTAAATCAATGGAAAAAATTGACCCTGATTCTTGAACCTTCCATGGAGTATGGTGTCACTAGTTTTCAGCAGGAGGCTTGGGTGTCCTTGTGCAGGCACTGGTGGGGAAGGAGACCATGTCTGCTGTTAGGAATCCCTAGAATGAACCATATGGCTTAGACAGATATTTGCTCTCAGACCAGGCGTAACTACTGTTCTTGAACATATGATCTGAGAGTTTTATTCAAGAATCTGAAAACTAGACAAGGAATTTTTTTTTGTTTTTTTTTTTTTTTGCTGTAAGAGGGAGTGGGAAAGTCAGAGCAGGGAAAATAGGTTATTTTTACCTTCCTATAACATTGGGAAAACTTCTTTAGTTGGAATAAAAGAATCAGGAAAAGCATCCTAATTAGAAAGTTTATATGTTTGGCCCAACACCAATCTCTTTTTGATGCCCATCCCTGAACCGTTTTTGGAACCTAAACATTATTAGGTATACAATTTGTGTTATTCTGTCATTTTTTTCTACTGTCCAGTCTTCTTTATGTTCAACTCTTACCTATGGGATGAAATAGTTATAAAGCTAAACGATATTAGCATTTGATTATTTGTACTATTAATACCTGACACATGGTTGGCATGCAATAAATATTTAGTATTATTACTAATGGTACCTAAAAATGTTAGATGAGAGGAAATAAAATAAATTCTCTATAATTCAGTGTTATAATTGAATAATAATAACTTATTTATTTATAACCAATAACTTCTTTATATACCCTGCTTGACTCTAAATTCTGATGCCTATGTTTATCACCATTGTATTCCCCAATGTACAAGTAGTAGGTTTTCAATAGATATTTATTGCATGAGACCATCTTTTTTTACATTGTTTTTGTACAGTACAAGTATAATCGATATTTATAATGATAATCTTAAAATACTGCAAGGCCCCAAAGTTCCATTGCATTGGAACATTGCATTGATCACATCATGTTTAATAAATATTATTAGTTAGGGGCATTTTATTGTATCTTAGAAAATTAGTGATTTATGTAAAGATTATATAACTCGATATCCAGAATATTCGGTTAATAAGAATTGTCTTTTTCTCTTGACCATATAACTGAGAAATAACATTTTCTATAGAGTGTTATTTCATATCTAGGTAACACGTTAGTAATAATAAAATTTTATTGAATTTATTTTTCATAACGTCAGCACTACCAATATATGTTTCCTTTTGGTGGCTTATCATGGAAATGAGAGAGTTGCTTTCTATCTATCTTCCCAGGAAAGATTTAGGAATACTGGTCTGCTCTGAATCTGACTGTGAAAGTCCTAGAAAATATCTCTTTAAGGATCTGGATGGGAGAGCTCTGGGTCTGCCTCCACCAGTTTCTGTATTTCCTAAAATTGAAGCAGAATGGACTGGATCCTTCTTCAACACAGGTCAGTTCTATCTGAACTCAATGTCTCCAGTAGAGGGAACAAGCATGGGACGGAGCTGGTTTGGCTGTGTGGTCCAGTGGGAACAACATATCCCGGAGAGGAACTGAGCAATAGAGTTGGCGTCTGTGCCAGTAAGCTGTTCAACTCACCTCTATCTCAGGAATGTTGGATGCTTAAGGGATGTCACAATAGCACTGTTTTGCCCTCCATGAGATTGCCTGTGGTCCATGTCAAAGGTACAGACTCCCAATACCACCTGTGCACAGGTGAAGAGAATGGTCCTCTCACTAGGTTGGTCTCTTGGGCCTGAAGCAGCACTCTCTGTGCTCAGCGTTTCGCAGTGTCTGCCTTGGAAGCAGTTCCTCTGGATTCTGAATCCTTCTCTTCCACCAGAGCTAAATGCCCTCACTCTGGATAGGGTGGTAGACTAGATGGCATGCCTTCTTTTTGCCTTCCTTTTCTCCATCTTCTAATTGTCCCTGGGGGCTATGATCAAAATCCCTTCTTATTCTTCTTGCTTTTACAAGCCCATCGGGCTATCAGTTTTTATAACTGGACCCCTGGAGAGATCATCGTCTTTCTGCTTCTACAAACAACGTAACTCTGAGTTTACATTTTTATTCAGGTGGAAACTGCTGCAGGTACATCCCAACTTTCTTCCTACTTCATTGGATGACTCTTTTCAGACTTCTTTTCTAGTCTCCCTTTCTCTTTTGAAGTTTTGAATATTCCAGGACTATCTTTTCTTCCTATCTTGCTCCTAAGTCCAAAGTTGAAATACCATTTACTGCTGATGGATTTATATCTCCAGCCCAGACTCCACCCTGAACTGTAGTCTGTTATAACCAAATGACTCCACTGGGAGGTATAATTCGCATCTCAGACTCAATATGCCCCAAGTGGGGACTCCTGGAGACGTGACCCACAGTTGTCCCAGCTAAGCCATGCAGAAGCTAAAATATTGACACTTCAAAACCTTACTCTTCATTGGCCGAGGGATGCTCCTGGGTACACTAACTCTCCAGCCCTTTGGCTTTCCCTGAACAGGCCAATCATGCTCTTTCCCAAGGCCAGGAAAAACGTTTCCTGGAAGGTTTCCTTCTGAGGAAGGAAAAACCTTCCTCAGAAAGGAGTGGTAGGTTTTTGTAGCAGCCATCTTTGGTATGTGAAGGTGAATGCCAGGAAGATATGGGGTGACATTGAAAATGTCTCTTGCAAACAGGAACTCTAAAATGTCCATCAAATACTCCAGGTGTGAATAATAATATTCTGTCAATGAATTCTTAGGCGGTGCTTACCATGTGGTATAAATATACTGTTTAGGCACAAGCATATTTGCTGCTGGTTGAAAAGCTGTATATTTTATTTTTTTACCACTCTTTGTCTTGGTTATGAAACATGATTCAATGGTAAAACTCTGATAGGTATTACAATATTACATGCTACTTACTCTCAGCACATGGACAGTTGTGAGCATACGTGTGGGAGGCTGAAGGTATATTGGGAGGTGTGTAGGCTGGACTGCCTTAAACTCCTGATGTTTTAAAGCTTTATAACATTTTAAATGAGGTTGCTGTAGGTCCCAACTGTAAGGATTCCCACAGTAGAATCCACTGTTTATTGCACTACAAATACAGTCTGTGTCTTCTTGCCATGAAGGAGACAGTACATAGTAAATGGTGCCTTCTGGGTACTAACAGGATTGGAGTGTTTTCCTGTGACTTCCAAAATGGGAATAGATCCCTCCTTCCATAGTTCAAGTCCCTTCTCATTTTTTAAACCATAGTTTTATGCTACTTTCCAGTTTCTGTCCACAATATGGTAGAGGAGAAAAGCACAAATTTAATCTTAAGAGAATAAATGTCTATTTTGTATTTTTCCTCTTCAAGACAAGAATCTATGGTCATCTATAAAACAGTGGAAGCAGCCAGCAAAGATGAAAATGGAGGCCTCTGGAACCAGCTCTTATATTTATTCCAAATGGCGTTGAGTTTAACACACCCTTTTGGCCTTTCTCCATTTTATTAACAAACAGTTTGGAGTCCATTGCCTTTGAGGTTTATTTTAATTTGAAAAATACAAATTTTATTTGCACATATAAGTTCACATGCAAAATTCAGACAGATATCCACAGGTCCCAATGTATTGTCATATGCTTTGGTGTTGGGAGCAAAAATTATCCACGTGGATCAGCTATGGGGAACACTGTGCCAGTGGGTTTTGCTATCTGTGTAATGCAGGGTGTGTAGCCAGGGGAAAAGTGAGCTGTTAATTTTGTTTTGTACTCATCTGTAAGTTCGCATTTGCAGCCAACTTTGAAACATGCATGGCAACAGGGTGCAAGGCAGCTAATCCCAGGCAGGAGAACCTCTAAGAGCCATTTGCATTTTATTCTGGAGAGAATTTCTTTTGATGATGGAGGCATCTGATCATCCGAAAATCCAAAATTATAAAAACAAAGTCTTGAAATTAATATCCCATTTAGGTAGGACTAGATCAGTACTAGAGCTTTCCACCCTGGCTTCTGACTCATTTCCTGTCTGTCCCAGTCTACAAATGCATGGAATCACCTCTCAGCCCACTTTGTACATATGGCTACTGATGTTATTGGGAGAAGACTGAAGGAAATCAGAGCTTTGGTTTCAATGGCATTTTACAATTTCTTAGCCGTGATATAGAAAGTAGAAAGGGGGTGTAATGGAAGCTAGCATCCCTTGAGCACCTTTTGCACGCGCTGTGCTGAAGTTGACATTTTCACTCATTCAGCAAATGCATTTGACCATCTGTAGTCTACCAGTGCCTTTCTAAGGATGGGAACTATAGTTGTGAATAACATTCCTGCCTTCATCAAACTTATGTTCCAGTGGAGATTATATCTATATATCTATATCTATAAACAAATAAATAAAAATATTTCAATAGTGATGAGAGGTATGAAGAAAATAAAACAGAGTTTTGGACTAGAGAGGTAGCTTCAGGTGTGTGTGCGTGTATGTAGTGTGTGATGTTGTGTGTGTGTGTAAGGGAGCTGCTATTAGAAACAGAGTTACAATTTCAATGAGGCCTGAATGAGGAGCGAGGAATCACTCCTCTGAGCAGACGGAGGAGCTTTCCGGGGAGAGGGACCAGCCAGAGCAGGGGCTCTGACACCAGAATGGCCTCAATGTGTCTGAGGGGTGGGTGGACAAGAGACCCATAGGAGTGATGTATAGTTAATGAGAGGGGGCGTAGTTGCAGGTAGTCAGGGCTTAGCCCCTTTATAGGCCAGAGTGATTTAGTAAGATGGGGTTGGAAGATGGTGCTAGGATTTTATTCACTTTCTGAAAAGATCGTACAAGCTGCTGTGGAGTGAATGGATCATGGTGAGAGCGAGGCTGGGAGTAGGCAGTGTAGTTAGAAAGCTGGGGTTGAGGGGGCCCAACAGACGCAGGACTCCATGAGTGGTCCACCACCCTGTGCTGCCCACAGACTGCGCCGGTCCACAGTGAGGTGATGACAGAAATGTCACCTGTAGAACCAGAGCTACTTGACAGTAATTGTACATCTGTTGGATCTAATGAACAAAACTTAGGGCTTTCATTTTGTATATCTAATTTGTCTGATAATTTGCATTATATTTTAAATGTGTTGGTTCTCAATAGACTGGAAATTTTGAAACAAACAAACAAAGCATAAAACCCCCTCGTTCTCCTGCCCTTTTTCTGCTTCTTCAATTTAGGAGGTAAATTTGATGTGCTTAGGACAGTGGCTCCCAAAGCTGGCTTATTATCAGAATCACCCAGGACATTAAACATTCGTTTGCATGAGTCGATAGGTGTGTGAAGCCCAAGCCTTTGTATTTAACACACACACAAACACACATACACACACACACACACACAAATACACACACATACACACCCACACACACGCACACGTACACATCCACACACACGCATACGTACACATACACACACAGACGTCCTCCTCAAGTGATTCTGCTGTGCTAAGGTTTGAGAATCACTGTTATAGAGTTATACGCCCCCTTTGAAGTAAACAGACAGGATGTTAAGAAGACAATTAATGTTTTTAATTTAAAAAGCCGGCAGTTTCAGTTTCTCATGAAGAATCAAGAATAAGCTCTCTGTGCCAAATACCAGCAGACATAAACATACTTGCTTATATACACACTGGATATATTTCTGAAAGGGAAAAGAACATTAACTAAAAAGACATAGGAGTATTTACAATCTAAATTAAGTCTTTAATAATAAGAATATATTAAACCTTTTTAAAAAATTCAGATTATTTTTCCTAGTGTTGAAGTGAGTTAAATGACCTCAACATATCACTTTCACAATATATCACTGGATAAAAATGGGTTCAATGTTAAGTTTATTTTTTAAACTATATATTGAATCATTGTACTAAAAGTATAAACTCGTGATAAGCTTTTCCCACACTTTCCTCAACATCATGCCCAGCAAAGTACTGTGGTCTGACTGGGACTTCTGACCAAATCCACCTTCAGGGCAGGTGAGAGTTTCCCATTCTTTCCCAGGAAAGAGTAAGAAACATTTTTCAAACGGTGTGACTTCTTGGACACTTCTTGAGAAAGAAAGTTGTAAACCATTACGGAGATCTTAAAAGTGACTAGCCTCAAATCAAAAATAAAAGATGAGGTTGGTGAAAAAGAAAATAAAGCTGGCATTTGACTGTGAGCACATAGAGTGATGAAGTGGTTTGTAACTGAATAATGGGGAAACTCAAGTTTCAGTGTGGAGACGTGTGCTCAGCTGCCTAACAGAGAGCAGCCAGCATGTTTTCAACTGTTTGTTGCTAGGTCTTGAAATGTGTCTTTTCTTTAAGTTTTCCAGGCTTCTCTTTTTTCCCATTTGCCCTGGGAATGACAGCAACATGGTATTATAAAATGGGAGAAGGAGAGGGAGGGAGAAAATGAGAGGACAGAATGGAGAGAGGAAACGGTTGTTAGAAAATTTGTCTGCCAATATATGTGCTTG